AAGGAACAAAGGTCCTGGCACAGAAGAGCTAAACAGCAGGTAACCAACCCTTCCCTACCCGTGCAAGACTGGTGCTCCACTATCTGGGGAGTTATCACAACACAGAAGACTGAATGCAAGTTTTCGGGGTGAGCCCATGGGGCAGAACCAAAAGCAGCATGTGGGAAGCTGTGAGGAGCCAGATTTCTATCACAACAGAAGCATAAGTGCCTAATGGCTATCATGGTTCAAGAAGGGAATGAAGAGAGGTGTCTGGGTGGCTCAGTCGTTAAGCGTCTGCCTTCAGCTCAGGTCATGATCCCAGGGTCCTGGGATCGAGCCCCACATCAGGCTCCCTGCTCCACGGGAAGCCTGCTTCTCCCTCTCCCCCTGCTTGTGTTCCCTGTCTCGCTGTCTCTGTCAAATAAAATCTTAAAAAAAAAAAAAAAAAAAAGAAGGGAATGAAGAGCCATGTGAGGGGAGGGCCGCTGCATTGCTGGAGACAGGGAAGCAGAAGGCGGAATACACCAGCTGCCCCTGCCTAAGAAGGGCCAGCTCTAATCTGCACCCACCCTGGAGAAGGCTCCAGAACCCCACCCTGGACTGTTAGCCTGGATCACCCTCCCTTCTCCCTCCTCCTCCCACATCTCGGGCTGTGACACCCACTCCTCATTCTGATCCCACCTCTCCCCTCAGCTGTGAGGCACCCTGCGTGCTTTCCTCCTTGCTGGCTTCTGTGATTTTTATTTCCTGAAGCCTTCACGCTATCTTGTGCAATGCCCTGACTTGTACCTAACCCCCTGGACCATCCACTGGCCCTCTCCCCACAACCCCAGCCTTGTGACAGATCCCAGATGAACACGGGAAAACCCCCGCCCTCAGACCTGGAGTCCAGCTCCATTCAGCTAAGTTCTCTCAGGCAAGTCCCTGAACCTCTCAGAATCGTGTCCCTGTCTGTCTCATTTACAACAGCGAAATGGTGGCCCTCAAGTGTGCCCTCACAACAATGCAGTTCCTTACAGAAAAGTTGAGACAAAAGATGCAAGAGTCTTGGCTCAGTCTGAAGTTAAAAAAAAAAAAAAAACGCATGTCCAACAAGAGAGGGCATTAAACATCACAGGACGGATCCCCAAGAGAATGTTAGGTTTACAGCGGTAGCACCATAGACTATTTAGTAACATGAGACCATGTGCATCAAATATTGAGAGATGTTTGTTATAAACACATTTTTAAAGATTATTTACTTGGGGGAGGAGAGAGAGAGCACGTGCACACACGAGTGAGTGTGGGGGGCAAGGTAGAGGGGGAGAGAGACTCTCAAGCAGACTCCCTGCTGAGTGTGGAGCCCCACACAGGTCCCAATCTCAGGACCGCAAGATCATGACCGGAGCCAAAACCAAGAGTCGGACACTTAACCAACTGCACCACCCAGGCGCCCCCGAAACACATTTTTGGTAGAAAAGCATACCAACACAGAAAATACAGACATTATATAATCATAAAGCTAAGAGTAGTGCTTCTTTATTCTTTCTTCATACTTGCAAAGTTGTCAACAGTGACATACTTTTTATGTCATAACTTTATTCCTAGTTAAAAAGTATTTAAAAAAAATCTCTACCACTCTCGTTTCACCTTTTTCCTCCTCAAAGAGAACAAGGTTACAGTCAACCTAATGAGGGACACAGTGAGTCCATCACATTATCCTACTTACCCTCGCCTACAATACGACGGGCCAGGTTTTGAACTTGGAGAAACAGAACAGCTAAGAACACTAAGCAGCTAAGAACATGTGAGCTCATGGGAGGTCACATCATGGGCCAGAGGCTCACTGAGGAGACTCCCAAAGGGGTGACTCTTGGACCCTGGTCATGCCTCACATCCAACAGTCTCCACTGCCACGCTGCCCCATCAGTCCCGCTCGGAAGAAAGAGTGCCACGTGCCACCCACAGGTCATTGTCTAGCTGCTCGGTGAGGCTTGGCTCCACGTCATATGGTTGTGAAAAGCCTGCCAGCAGAGCCATGTCCCCATTCAGCTGCTTTTGTCCCCTGGTAATGAGCTCCCTTCACTCCCTCCCCGTGCTGGAAAGGGGCAGCTGCAGAACGGTGCAAGCCAGAGAAGCCCCTGGGGAACGGCCCATCCAGGAACTCGGGAGCTTGGCAGTGGTCCGGCCACAACCGTCCAAAGCCAACAGTCATTTCAGTGGACAATATCGGCTGGACTTGAGATGGAAGGCTTCCATGTCCCCCTCGTTCTAGGGTCCATGACATGGCCACTCAGGAGCGCACACACCCCGAGACTGGGGACCCAGGACTCGCACACCCCAGGGGCAGGTCTTGTCCACAACAGCCTGTGGACACCCAGAGGAAAGGATCAGCTGTGAACAAGTCTGTGGTTGACAAAGGAGGTATTGATCATCTTTTCCATCTTCAACCCACACTCACGTTTTCGGCATATGGCCAGATGGCTGGCTGTGGGCCTCTTGCTCTTCACCAGCTTCACAGGTGATGGAAGCAGGGGACGCACAGGCTATTCCGCCCCAATGGACACGCATCTACACAAACAGTCCCAGCGCCAGTCCCTTCAGACTTTCCTCCTCTCTGCAGGCAGGTATAAAAGGCTGTAATGCAGCAGTCCCTTCCAGTGGGTTCCCCCATATACTTCCCAAAGCTTTAAGTGGCTTCAGGAACTAGCTCCCCATTAGAGGAGATAAATGCTACAATATTCTTGTGATCACAAACATTACTTTATGTCCTGTACGATAAATGAGTGAACCAGTTATACTCTGCATATACTAAGGTCTTCTTAAATCGCTCCTGGAGAATCCCAAGCATGCACGGGATAGTAAGACCACATATTGAGCTGATCTCCCCCAGAAGGCTTACTCTTTTCTTCTCCCTGTAAACACGTACCCATGAAACCAGTTCAGAGGCACTCAGAGAGCCCATCTCAACAGCTGTGTATGGTCATGTTTTGGAATTTGCCAGATGGACCAGCACCGAGGTCCATGCACCACACAGACAGACATTTCCAACTCTGTTTAACTATCACAGAAGGGAAAAAAATGGCACCCAAGTAGAAATTTGCCTGAAACATTCTTCCTAACAAAGACTCACAGCAAATCCCATGGTCTCAGAACTGGAGAAGGTCCTCTGCCTTTAACGGTCAGCCCTACTGCCCATGCGTCCACCTGCCACACACAAAACCAAAGCACCTCCTCACCCTAAAGCTTTGCACACACAAACCAGGTCCCGCCCACTGCAGGGAAAGACCATGACCTAACTCAGCAGGGAAGACTTCCAGAAGCAGGTTCTGGGCCTGCTGCCCTGGGCAGGAAGTCCCAAGCCAAGGTGATTCAGCACTGACAAGACTTGAGAAAGGATTCCGGGGAGGAATTTTTCTGCTGGATTCTATCATCAGAGACAAGAACTTGGCTATTCATTCCCCACTTCCTTCTCTGTGCTTTGATTTATGTACTTTCTATGACTACTACCAGAAAACAGCTCTCCCAAGGTCTAGGGTGACATCAGTCAAGTCCAAGACCAACGATCTGGATGGACCTCAGGAAGCTATCTGGCTCCATGTTGTGGCCCATGTCCTAGTCTGTGTCAGACTCACATGGAGTGGCTGCTGCTCAAGCTTTAGAAAGAACAAAATGTAAATGATGTCCTTAGTACCTTTAATACCCACCCGGACCACATGGGGAGAGGGCCTGACCTCATCCTGGGATATCTTCTATGTTGGGTTCCACATCGTAGTGGAAGCTAAGTCACGACCAGGCTCCAGGTGATCTACCCCTTTATAGAGAGGCATACACTCTCCACCTTTCTCACCCTAAGGCTGTTCTCAAAGAACAGGAAACCTACATTTGCAACGTATTTGTCCAACAAAAGCATGTACTCCATAGGTGGGACAGAAAGCCACTGAGGAAACTCAGCATGGAAGCGTATAACTATTCCAAACCATCCTAGCTCAGAAACCTTGGGCAGTGCATGGTGGAAACTCAACAGGTACAAAGCTTTAGGTCACATTCTGTTCAAATTCTGTTTTATCCTAAACCTTTGTATGGTAATTAACAGTGCTCCAGGAAGCAAAACGTTTCCACAGGAAGAGGTAATTCTGTCAAAGCTCAGCACTCAGTGAGTGGGGATAGGTCTTTACAATCCAACTGTTTGTGGGAGGCCAAATTACTTAGTGAACAGGGGACGGAGATGCTCGGCAGGCCCCCACCCTACAAATGGCCATACGACAGTGCCCCAAGGCAGTGACAGAGGACCCCCGTTTGTTGTAAGAAAAACTCACACTTCGAGGTTGCTTAACCTTAGACCCATGAATGGCTTCCATCTTGCCAGTTGAAAATATCAGAAGCTAGGATGCAAAATAATTTTTGAACAACTCACATGGACCTTATTCCTTCCTAAATATCCAGCTCCCGTGTATACCCTCATTGCAGAATTACCAGAAGTCACCAACTTTGAATGATACCAAATGCTGAAAAGACAATCATCTCTCACCCCTTTGAGCTTCAATAGGACAATGACCAGATGATCATTTCGATTATTAAAAACTGGGGTTTCCAAGGTGTAGACCCCAAGTATACCTCGGTGGCTAATGCCAGAGAGCTCAAAGTCCACACACACGTGAAAAGCAGGTAAATACACGTTAAACCCATCCTGACCACGTCTTCCCATTCATAGCTTCCTAATGTCCTAGCAAAGCCAACCTCAAACTCCACTGTGCATTGAAATCACCTGGGGAGACTTTTTCAAAAAAGCAATCCATGCCGGTGGTACCCCAGACCAACTACACTGGATTTTCTTGGGGGTACAACTCAGGCATCCCCATTTTTCAAAGTCCCCCTCTTCCCCCCCCCACCCCACACACACACCCGGCAGATGTGCAGCCAAGTCTGAGAACCATAAAAAGTTCACGGGCCCACCTGGCCTTCCTCTGTCAAGGCGCCCCGGTTACTAACAGAGCATGGAGCCCAGGGCAGCGCGCGGGCACGGCCGCAGCTCCTACCTATGTAGAGCGAGGAGTCCTTCCTCCGCACGTGGTCGTCGATGTAGGAGACGCCCAGGGGCTGCACGGGGGTAGCACCGATGCCCAGGAGCACCTGGGCCCCAATGAGCAGCAAGTACATCATGTTGGTGGCGGTCCGGCTGCGGCAGATGAGGTCCGGGTCGGGGCCCTGGTCGCCGCCCGAGCCGTTGGCGGCGCAGACGTCGCGGCCCTCGGCGCCCCAGCGGATCTCACCCGCCTCGTACTTGTACTGGTGGGTCAGGAACTCGGGCAGCGCCGACAGCAGCGCGCCCAGGGCCATGACGATACCGCCGCAGCCGATGAGGCGCGGCCTGTGCCCGCGCGCCCCGAAGTAGCTCACGAAGAGGATGAGCGCCAGGTTCCCGATCTCGAAGCTGCTGGCGATCACGCCCACGTCGGCGCTCTGCAGGTTGAACCTCCGCTCCAGGGTGGTCAGGACGCTCACCTGCGGGGTGCAAAAGGAAAGCTCAAGGCCAGTGCGAACGCACGCCACCCGGGACGCAGCCCCCCTCCGGCCTCGCGGTGCACCTGCGGGCCGGCCCTTGCCCCTCAGCGGGGTTTACAGGACCAGGATGCAAAAGGCGCCTGCGACAAGGGACTTAAACCTGAAGAGTCCAAAAAATATTTACTTAGTAGGACAACCCTAATTCGATGGCTAAAGAATTAACTTTCCCAATAGCAGGGAAGTGTTTTCTTGGCACCTGCTTCCATCCTGAAAGGTTCTGCCTTATTTGGGAAACACAACTTCTCCTTCCCCACAGGCGGCCACCATCCCTTAGGGCTCAGGTGTCCTGCGCAAAGCCCTGAAGTCCATTTTCACACGCTCCCAACGACACCCTATTTAGAAAGTCCATGCTGGGAGGGCACAGGGGGCCAGGGAATTTTTACTAGGAGGTTGGCAAAGCATACCTGAAGAAAACAAAACCCTACTTGGAAAAATGGACATGCTAGATTAGTTCACTGGGATAATCATTAGCTCCGTTTCCTTCTGGAAATTTCCAACATACATTTCCCTAGGCCTTCAAATAAATACATCCCCAACTGTTCTATGCCCTGCAGCCCTGCCAAAGTCCCTTGGATGGAATATTTTTAAGACTTTCCCCACCTCTGTATTCTAGTCCACCCTTCATCTGTTTAACAAATATTAAACCTCTACAGTGGCTTGGCAATGCCCTAGACACACACCCACACAGAGAAAAAAAGGAAGAGAGGACACCTGTCCTTAAGATGCCACCTAGCAGACAGACATGCACAACTCTATCACAAAGTGACTGGATATTACACTCATGCTGCAGCCATCACAGGAGCGGGGGGGGGGGGGGTCAAGAGGAGATGCATATTATATTAGGGCTTTTGAGCTAGAGAGAGAAAATGCAAATAGCTCTCCCTCCTGTTGTATGCAGGTTCCACACAGGGTATCACCAGCAAGGTAAGAGTCCCCATCATCACGGGAGGTCCGATAGCCCTAGCTGGGCAGGAAAGAACATTCCAGGTTAAGGCAACAGGGTGAGCAAAAGTTGGTGGCATGACTTAATAAAGGAATGGAAAATGGTTGGAAAGGTGGATTAGTGACAGATTCTAAAGAACTACAGATGCCACCCTAAAGAAATTAGGCAATCCCGCGCAGTGTGGTGGAAAAAATGCAGAGCACGGAGAGAGGAACACCTGGTTTGAATCCCAGCTATTATTCCCTTAATTAGCTCTAGAATGTCGATCAAGTTGCTTCACCTGTCCCAAGCCCTGGTTTCTGTGAAGCAGGAATAGGAACATCAACCGGGCAGGATGTACAAGAAAATTGGAAATAATGAAAGGTCCGCTAGCACAGACCTGCCTTTCCCTTCCTGGCAGGAGAGTGTAGGGAGAGGAAGCAAAGCAGAGGGGTGCAGAGCCAGGACTCCCAGAGCCAGAACGCCTGGGGCCATCCTGACTCTATGACCTTGCACCGTTCACCTATGCTTTCACTTTCCCATCTATAAAATGGGGATAGGAGTGCCAGGAGCCAACAACATACAGGAGTAAATGCTGGAAAGGGCTATCTATAACCATTGTCATTTATCTGTGGGCATCGGGCAACATCAAAGCAAAAGATGCTGGGTGTGGCCATTGTGTGGCAAATGGACCGACAGAAGAGTGGAGAGAGGAATGCCAGCAAACTATTATCGAGAAAAGAGAGAGGAAAGGCAAAGTCAGTACAGTGGCAAGAGAAATGGACAGGATTTGAGGCTTGTGGAAGCCGAGTTCTATCTCCGGAGACTCTGGGCCGTGTGCTGCTAAGGAATGGGAAGAAGGAGAGTTATGTGGATCTAGCCTTCCACCAAACGTGTAAATCCGTGCCCCGTTGTCAAAATCCACGATCCACAGCCTCCGACCATGTGCACACACAGCTATACCTGTAAGGATTAGCAGGTCTCTATGTACCTTAAGAAAAAGAACAGAGAAGCCAGGTGATTCCTCCCAACCTCATCTTCAACCCCACACATTGAAACAGCCTTCTTTAACCCAGTGGTTCTCAAAGCTACCTTCAGATTGGAAGCACTCGGGAAAAGCTTAAGAGTTCAGATGTTCAGGGCGAGCTCGGCAGAGCAGCGTTCTAACACTGGTATTGGCGACAGGACATCTGTGTCCCCGCTCTGTTGCCCACATTCCAATTCTGACTCCCGTTCCCACTGCACTTTCTAACCAAGTCAAGGCCAGCTCGCAACTCAGTCAGCCCTCATTATGTGGCTAGCTTATTTCTCAAACACCAAGTATCTGCAACTGTCAAGAAAAGAAATTTATTAGCCGGTCTGGTCTCATTAAAATGGCTTTCAAAGACTCCCAAGGAAGTTCTTTCTGGAAGGTCTGGGTAGGAAAAACAAAGGCTTCATTTATTCGCTCCTTTGTAACACCCAAAAAAGCATGATGGGACCAGCGCTCTAGCAGAGGCTTGTAATAAGTAAAGCTGCGTGGGAGTGAAGACGACAGCCTATCCACCTGGGAGGTTGGGGGGCTCCAGAAGGCTTCACCCCAGCTTTTGTGCTGAGCTTGAGAGATGCCCAGAAGAGGCTGGGTGCAGGAAGGGAGCAGGAATCTATCCAGGCACTAGAGTCCTCTCACGCAGCCTGGTGACCTCCACAGGAGGTCAAGGACAACAGAAGCGGGATGGTAGCAGGTGGGAAGGGTTGGAACAGAAGCCGTTTTCTATTCCTGCCACGAGGCTTAATGACATACATGTTAGGCGGCATATCTGAAACATGACAACAGTGCTGTTCCAGCAGGTGTGACCTGTCATAAAATATCACACAGGTGTGGACGTTTATGATGACAGATAAGGACGGCAGGGATAGAGACAGCTGTGGGCAAAACAAAATATAATCAGCTCTTCTAGAGCGAGCTGACGTCTGTGCCTGCAACCCCTCTTGTCCTGCCTCAATCCTGCTCTTTGCAGAGAAATCCACAAGGGGTGACAGGAAGCCGTAGGGTCTGCACCTCCTTGACCTGTGACCTGACAAGCCCCAGGGATGCCTCTGAATCAAGCATTGGGCCGTGCAAGCATTCTGAAAAGACGCTTTGTGGATCAATTTGATCAGAGGCTAATGTCTCCACTCACTTAAAACACAATTTTGAGAAGATGAACTAATTAAGTATGCATGAGGCCATAAAACCCACTTGGGGCTTTTATGTGGCAGGGAACAATCCAGCAATGCGAAAGACGCGTGCTAAACGGAAAGACTGTCTTTACTTAATGGGTAACAGGACTGATGAGAAACGTCTTGGTAATTAGAGACGAAGGAGCCGTAACTCCAGGAGGTAAAGTGCCCTCACCCCGTGCCAAGTGGATATGAAGTTATTATTAAAAGAATGCAATATTTATCAGGTCTCTACTACCACGATTCAAAAAGAAAAACAACTTGCATTTCAGAATCTCTTGGAGCACTTGCTAAAAATACAGCCCCCCAGACACTGAGAGGTGACCCAGGCCAGAGATTCTGTAAGACTCCAGGCGTCTTGGATGCCCAACTAGGACAGAAAACCACTTCTATTCCAGGAGTCCACCCACGTACTCACCATCAATCTCGAGCTGGGCTCCTTAACCTCAGGGGCAGCAAAATCACATGGAGTACATCACCACCGCATTCCAACCTCAGAGTTTATGACACCTCGGGGGTCCAGGGCGGGGGGGAGGGGACTGGGAATTTACGTTCGAACCTGCTCCCAGGTGATGTTGCTGGTGCTCAGGGGACCACGCTTTAAGAACCACTGGTCTACTGGCCTTCCTGTCCTCAACAAACCTACCGCTGCTCAAGACTGAAGAGTCTGTTTTTTAAATAGATACGAGTGGAAAGCACTCCCTCATTTTCGGCTCCTAGAGACACACTCACATGGGCCAACTGGGATTGCCTTTGTGGGAGGCTCACCTCTTAGGGTGCCTGCGGCACGCTCAGGCCAGCTGCATCAAGGGGGACCCAAAGGGAGAAGTTCAGCCCATGCCGTCATAAATACCCTAAGACAGGAGGCACCCGGAGACCATGGCCACGTAGAGATGAGAGCCCTTCCTCACCTTCAAAAGCGCGGAGGTGGTCCGGAGCTCACTGAGTAAGAAGAGAAGTTCGTAGAAGCAGAAACCAACAGTCAAAATAGTCCCCAGGCGCCTTCCCAGAGGTCTGTCCATTTTCTTACTCTGGCTGGGGGCATGGGGCCTGAACTGGAATCACCTGGGGAGCTTTTGAAAACACCAGTACCTGCGCCACCCCCCCACCACACCAAGACTCTGATATAATTTGTGAGAGGTGGGCCCCAGCGTGGGTATATTCAAAGCTCCCAGGTGATTCTAAGACACAGGCAGGTAGAGGTATGTGTGTGCACAGATGCACCGCATGGATGCGGCAGAGGGGCGTGGATGTTCACCACAGTGCAACGTGTTCATCTGGGTGCCGCATGGGAGCAGGGAAGCCTCGAGTCCCAATCTGCCTTGGACAGCACGTGGCCCATCTTTCGGAGCCTGTCTGCCATCATAACAATACCTGCTTGAGTGAGCATTACAAGATCACGTATCAGAGCAGTGGGCACACAGGTGCATCTAGAAGTGTTGCCTCATCACTGGTGCGCATGCTCTGTGTGACTTCCAGGTCCGTTCCAGAGTGCCTGCTCCGTGGCAGGTGCAAGAAATGTGACTATAATTGAGAGACCATCCCTACCCTGTGGGAGTTTATAACCTGGGGAGGGCAGAAAGAAGCAATCGAATAACAAGACAGCCTATTATACAGGGGAACAGAGTGGCGGAGGGTACAAGGGAGTGAGAGCGTATGTTTGGTTGCACGTGAAGGAAAATATACCCAGGATTCTGGGATGCAACAAGGATAAACAGGGGGTGATGGGGGGAGTCACAACATTCCACGAGCAAAGATCAATGGGGGTGGGGGGTACAGTTCAGACCACCCCTGGGGTAAGGTGGGTGGGGGAGAC